AAAAGTCACTGAGTGGAAAACACTGAGATTACAGATTCAGTCAAAACTGATTTAAAGCTGAAGTTGTGTAAAAATAATAAGCTACACAAATATTTCTAAGCTCTTCACATTTGATGCCATTGCAAAGCAAAGACCACAAAACTGCCCAGCAAATAACAAAAGAACATTTACATTACTTGAAAAATAAACACATCTGAATATATCTGCTAATTTTAAAGCTGATGGTAAAATAAGGAACATTTTCTCTGCACAAAGAAAAACACCATCATGCGCCTGAAGGGGGAGGAGCCAGCCAATCAACCATCAGTTATGTTGACTCTTGCAGCATGTTGCTGTCACGGGATAAAAACCAACTTTAAGTTCACTTTAATCTATTAAATGGAAAATTAATGTTTTACACAGTGTTTTATTTCACTGTAAATGTTTAACAGCATCTGGACAAACAGAAACAACGGCTGACACTGTAAATTCTAAATAACATAGTGCTGCATAACATTAACCAAAACTCGAGGCCATCCTGCTCTGTGTTCTATTATCTGCTGTATGTCCTGTGTCATGTATGTCATATGATCCATTACAAGCTTTTCACTCTCGCAGTCTTACCCTCAGGGTTTATCTGAGGCTCGTATCTCTCAGATGTGACATGTGGGAGCTGACCGGGACTCAGGCTCCATACGCCTATGCCCTCTGCTGCCCCCGCCGCCATGGCTACACCCAGAGCTGTGGTCTCGGACATGGTGGGTCGAACTGGGGCAACGTAAGACGGATGGTTAGAGAGTGACAGAGAGACATGTTTGCCCTGAGAGCGATCAGGCTCATCACTTCCTGTATTCTGGTTGCTATTTAAATGCAAAAATTCTTCATTTTCATAATATTTTTGGTGAAATCTTCAAGTCAGTGATTTGTTTTTTAAATTTCTTTAAAAGTTAGTTGTAGGAAGTCATCAGGTTGACATCAGCCATGTTGTATTTTCAAAATAAAAGCTTCCATGTAGTTTTAGACTTTTTAAAGACCAGGACCAGAATATGTCCTTCAACGCACATATTAAACAAATATGTAAGACTGCGTTCTTCCATTTGCGCAACATCTCTAAAATTAGAAATATCCTGTCTCAGAG